TGCATTTTCTTATAAATATTTAACTAAATAAGCATAAGCTAAAATAATACATCAGATTAATAACGTTTAAAAATATGACAATATATCATCATGTAACAAAATGATTTTTTAAAGCTTATTTCTGAATGAAAACTAACTCCATTGCAGAGAAAAATTGAAATGTTTTAAAACTATTTTTTTCCAAAGACAAGCTCCTCAAAAAGAAATACTAGATTTTCTAAAATTAGTCTGAAAAAATAATTGACGAATTAAATTATAATTTTTTATATTGTATTAATTTTTATATTTCAGCGTGTATAAATTATGAAAAGAAACTGGCGAAGAGTTAGTTTTACATTTATACACGAAACAAAGAATATTAAAAACATTCAGCTGATATATATTAAGTATTTTCATTTTAAGTAAAAGAGGCTTGGCATGAGTAAATCTGTTTCTAAAATTAATAAGACGAGCGACATGCTTCTGTTGACGATAAAGAGGCTCCAGTTTACATTTATTGGTATTGCACCAAGCAATATTTGCATAGTTTAAATGACAATGGATAAAAGAGAAATATAACTGAACCAGACTATGTTTACTTAACACACCTCTAGCTTTATACAATATTCCTATACTTTTAGCAATTTTATAACGCAAGAACTCAATGCGGTGTTTCCAACTAAGGTTTTCATAAAAATCGATACACAAAAAGTTAGCACTAAGTACTCTTTTTAATCGGATTTTATCAATAAAAAGTAAAGGTAGTTTACAAGGAAGTAATTTTTTTTTAGACACTCGATAAAAAAGTGTCCATTTTGTTTTTTTTAAATTTAGTGAAAGTTTATTCATTTTAAACCAATCAGTTATTTTTGTTAATTCTATGTTTCTATCTTGAAATAATGTAGTTATGCTATTATATCAGACAAAAAGATAATACCGTTTGCGTTTACTTTAGTCACTTTCAAGTAACTTTAAAATATTTCCTTTAATTCCATAATATTTAAATTTTTTAAGGAGAAATGGGTGATCGATTGTATTAAAAAGGTTTTGATAAATCTATGAAAACTCCCAACGTATATTGGGTATTTTCAAACGATTTAGAAATACTACGAGTTATATGGAGTATCGCGTGTTCTGTTGATGTATTCTTTTTGAACCCGTATTGATTAGTATAAAGTATATTATTTAAAGAAAGGTGATTATAAATTACGTTATATAGGATTCTCTCTAACACTTTAGAAAAAACCGGTAAAACAGAGATTGGCCATAATTTGTAAGCTTTGTAGTATCACCTTCTTTGAAAATTGGTGTGACTTTGGCTATTTTAAGATGGTCTGGAGTTATTCTCTGTTTTATTGAACAGTATAAAACTTTAAAGAGTTCATCTTTCAAATGTTCATTCTACTCAATGACCACATTACTATATATATATTGTCGTGAGCGACAGATTTATTCGACATACGCATTTTAAAAGGTTGCTCCAATTCTTCAAAAGATAATTTAAAGGAAGTCAGAGAAGAAGTTAATGGAAAATCTTAATGAAAATTCTTAACTGAAATCTTAACGAAAATCTTATAAAAGTTAACGGAAAATTCTTCGTTTATATAATGTTTCTTTGCAAACATCAATACTTAAATTTTTTAAGCACTTAACTGCAATTACTTTAAATTAATTTAGTTTAGTGGCTTTTGTTAAAAGCGTTAAAATTTTGCGTCCAATTATCTCATTTCAACATATTCGCTGTATAATCCATACTGCAGCCGTTTTTGCAAAACGCCTTAAGGTAAAAATTATAATTTTTGAAAATTTTACAACATAAGCTTTGTTTTTTTGGTTTTGTCTAATAACCTTATTGAATACATTTTTTAAAAAAGTTCTGAAAAAATTCATTTTTTTTAGTATAAATATATTTGCTGTTTATATACTAAGAAAATATAGTTACAAGGAAACATTTACATACAAAAAAAAGTTGATTTAAAATAACAGGCAGGAGCTCAAAGAAGATACGGATGACTAAAGTCACCACAATCTTTTCATAAAGCCCCAATGTGGGCTTTACAAGTTTAAAATAGAATACGATTGTTAAAAATACAATTTTACAACTACATATAATAATAAAAAAAAACTTTCATAAATATTTACATTTAAAGAAAGAAAGGAAATATTATTAATATAATTTTAACAATAGTCATTTAAAAAATACTGACATTGTTTTAAATATAAAAAAAGAAAACACAAATTTTTTTTTTAACTTAAGAATAATGAAATTCGATGTTTATTTAGAAAAGTTGCAAAACTGTTTATAATGTTTAAAAATTTCATTTTTTATTAGAAACTTAAAGGAGTTTGATGATTTTACCGTATTTAAGTTAGGGTTGTTAACCGGAGGATTTCGTGCGAATTCCGGAAAAAGAACATTCTTTTGTAAGGAGATTGAGAACATGAAATTAAACTTTTTTGTACCGAATGTTACAAAACATTTAAAATTGCCGGTTTTCGTTTCGCACAAGCTACTTCCGAAATTTAGCATTTCGCAAGTTGACATACGAAACAAAACTAGTTTACATGTTTGCCTAACGACATTTTGAAGTCTATAAAGAAAATTTGTTTGCCAGACTGATTTTAATTGTATAAATTAGCATCTTTAAATCTCAAATTGTTTATAATGAATTTATATTTTCAAAATAATAACATATTAAATTTTTATGGTTTTATTTGTAGAAATATTTATAAAAAACAAAATTTCTTTCGAAACGAAAGTATTTTGCAACACGACATACGAAAGAGATTTTAACGAAAATTAACTTACGAAACGTGCCATTATAAATATATATAACGAAGTTTTTTGAACTCATTACGTATAGTAAAAATAAGAATGATGGGTAGGAACATACATGTTTTTTTTTTTTTTTTTAAAGCATACGAAATTTTTAAAACTGGTTTGAATATGCTTAAGCAAATAATAAAAAGTGGCTCAAAAATATGCTTAAGCTTAAGCATATTTCAAATAAAATATACCTATTTCAATAATTTCTAAAAGTTTGCACGTTACTAAAGGTTAATGGGTATAATAAAAATAAAAAGTTGACTTATGCTCTGTATTTTTTTTTAGTTTTAATGTAGCTGAATTTATGTTGTTATAAACTTTGGTTTTTGTAGGTGTACACAGATATCTGCAATACAGCAGCGGTATCCACTAATATACAGGTATCCTTAACACAACGGTATTTACGCTACCTCTTTATGCACACACAGATATACGCTACATGTGTCACTGCTCAAGGTATTACTCACGGGCATATCACCAACAAGTGACTTTCCCCATCAACTATATAAAAAATAAAGGTTCGCGTAGTTTAAAAATATTTTTGAAAATTATGTCGAACTATTTGTCCAAAAAGTTTAAACTATGGAAAATAGTAGAGCTGGAATCAAATTAAACAAAGACGATTTATGGTTTAATAACAAAATTGGTGATTATGAAAATAATTATAATGGTATTTTATTTACAACGCAACCCAAATTAACTAAAAAATTTTTAGAATCAATGTTGCTCGAGTTAGAAGAAGTACAAAACAATGGATATAATTACGCTTCTACCAAACATAAAGTATTAAAAAGTAAACCTTTTACCACTTTTAACATAGGAATGTTAAAAGAGGACGAAGAAATCTATTATACAGAATACGACAGACAGACATCGGTAGAACCTGTTATGATTAACAGTTTACTCAAAAACGGACAAACAAGATCCTTTAATCAAAACATGTAAAAAGTGCTTAAAATTTGGCTACTCAAGAAACAAAAGTATATGTACAAAAAAATACACGGAACAAAATTAAAGACGATAATGATAAAGACAATGAAGAATAAAACTTTTTTTTTATTAAAAAAACCTGTAATTTTTTCTATTTTAATTAAAAAAAAACAAACAGTTAGTGTTATAATAAAACGTGTTTTTTATTTCCTGATAAGGTTTTAATATGAGGTCATACAGAATAACAAAAATATATAAATACATTGCAAAAAGTATTTTTTATAGGAAATCATTTAAAAAATAACTAGCAAGCAGATCGAACAGTCTTTAGAAAAAGCGGTAAAGTTATTTTATCCAGATAACGAACTTCATTTTATGTTACAAAAATTTCGTCATTTAGAAAACAATTTTTAATATTGGAAAATTATTATACAAGATTATTTAACTAAATGGAGTTTACAACTGTTACTACCAGAAGAAGAATATATTGGTTTGTATTATATTTTTTTAATAGAAAGACTATCTTAATCATCAAAATTTATTAGAAAAATCTACGCTTCATTATTTTCAATTTAATGAACAAGGACCCAAATGGAAATTAGACATGTATGATTTTTGAAAAATTAGTAACAATGACTTTTTAAAAAATGACAGAAAATAATGTACACGACAGATACAAAGAAATAAAACATAAAATGGATTATTTTAAAAAATATACAAGCGACATTATCGATATACTATAGAAAGCAGTTATACATCGTGGAAAAGTAAAATCAAATTAACTTTAAAATATTATTTTTTTGTTTCCCTATAAAAAGGAAGAACATTTAAACAAATACGATTTGTTAAAGCAAAACAGTTTGATTTTGTTGGAAATTTATCCTTCTAGTTTACAAAGATTGGTATTTTCATAGAACGATGAATTTTTTTATAATGGATTTTATACTCTTTATACACCGTCACCAAATTATAATTATTTCAAAGTTGAAAAAGTAAAAACTGTAAACGATAAAGTCTACATATACAAATTGTTTAATCAATGTAATTGTTTAATCAATGTAAATACAAAAAATCAATTATTTAAATGTTTCCTTATGCTAATTGGTTGTTTTTTTTTAAAAGAAATTTTAACATTTCAAATATTTTAAATAAACGAGATAATCAACTCTACAATGTTATTAAACAAGAAAACGTTAACAATAAACCCATTCAAAAACCTGAACATTTTAATATGTATTATATAAACAAGATAGAATTTTTTTAAAAAACAAATTTTTTTATTTCTCTTTTTTATTTACAGTGTAATATGTGTTAATTACATGAAAAAATAATTTTTAAAAACATTGGCTAGCTGTTTTATTTATCTCTTGACAGCAATTATTTTCCCGTAAGCGATGAAGAAAATCTTTATATTCTTCCTTTTCTCGTTTGAACCTTTTATATAATAAATAAATTCCATCAAATAAATTTTTAACCTTTTTGTTTCGTATTTTAAAAAAGGTTCCAAGTGTTCTTTTTTCAAAAATTTCTTCTTTTTTAAAATGTGCGTTACATTGTAAATTATCGTAATAATACTCTAATGTTTCCACTTTAAGAAATTTTAATTAGTTCAAACCAAAATATTTAATATTTTTAAAGTTTTTCAAAACTTGCACTTCCATATTACCACCTTTATAAAAAACAACGTTTACTGACCAACACTTTTAAATTGTAGTTTCAATTAATCAAACACGCTACCACAAAATAAAATGTCAGAATTATCCTCCATAGACGAATCATATTCCAGTCCGTGTATACAGGTTTTACAAAAATAAAATGCTTTTTGAATCTTCTTAAATAACTCCTTATATTAAATACATGGCCATATTTGTGCGTGATAAGAAAAACCAACGTTCAATTATTAAAAAAAAGTTCACGTATACAATTATTACCCCAAAAATGATTATCTTTAAATTGATGGACAATATGTTCAATATTCAACAACTTAAACTAAAAAAAAGACATTTCTTCATAAAAATGAAACGCATACCTTTTTTAAATTTTATAAAAGTGTAAAAAAACAAAATAAAAAATTTATTTTTTTAAAATATTTTTTATTTATAAAAACGAATCGAGTTGATAGCATCATTAAAAAAATTCATAACAATTGCGCTTTTGCGCATTAGACGAAATAGCCAAAAAGTACTCAATTAAAAAAACAAATTTGGAAACTTTTGACCAACATCTCTAGTTATAGACGACGAACATTATGAAGACGAAGGTTCAAACATCATTCTTAAAAATATTTTAAATTCGAAGAGAATCAAGCAAATTCTTATTCCGTTGAAAAATGTTTTAAAAACAGTAAATTTAAAAATTTAATTGATCAACCTCAATTGTGTCAACTTAACTTAAATATGTTTGACAACATGGAAAAAGATCATCGTAACGAAAAGGTTATAGCAGAATATTACAAATCTAAATTCAGGGTTTTCGTACTCGAAAGAGATGTAATTCCTGTCATACGATTTGAAGGCGATCAAACAGACGGTTTCATTGATACTTTTGCATCAAAAATATTTCCTACCGCTTCTACTATCATAGAGAAACTAGACGGTGTAATAAAAAAATAATCTGTTGAAAAAAACATTGAAGGAATCAAAAAAGTCGGCAATGTCTGATAAAAAAAACATTATTTGTTAATATTTTACACGCTTTTGAAAAATTATTTATTTCAAGTTATTTTAGTTTTGAAATAGAAGAATAATCTGTACTAACGATTCTTTGTGTCGTTATTTTAATAACGAACCCTTTTTAAATGATTATTTTATAGGTGTTTACTCTTTTGACGAATTAAGTCAAACTCAAACACACCTTCACATTATTCAACGCATGGTAAAATGGTTAATTTTTATATATACAACAACGAGATTAACAAAAATAAAGGTTAACTTTGGAGACTTTTAATTAAAATTGACAGTAACCATTTTTTTTGCTTTGAAAGTTAAGGTACAGAAAGTTGTTTATAACAAACTCCTCTTCTTAAGAACCAATAGACATTTGTTTGAAGCAATAGAAGAGATACAAAGTAACATAAAAATTAACACCATAAACATAAACTATTATGAGATTGAATTAAGTTCTTACATGCAACAAACTCATCACTTTATTAAGAATGGACATCCGATAACTTTTAACCGATAAATTATATTGGTTTACAAAATTTATTTTAAAGTATAGTTCATTAACTCGAGAACAAACTATTTTGTTTTCTTATAATAAATCTTGTTTTTAATGGAAAAACAGTTGTTTATGTGGAGCTTTTGCTGCTTATTTTGTATCACTATTACCAAACTATCTTATTAATGGTAAAATTTATTTACCTTTGTTGTGCAGATTATTGAATTATCATTTCTATGAAGTTTCATTTCTTTATGCCTCTGAACTAGCGCAGAAAAATTTGCTTCCATTTTATCACTATATTCAAACAAAGTTACTTAACCACGTGGATGCTACTGTTAAACAACTCTTTGAAAAAGATATGACGCTACCTCTTTAGT